CCCACCCCCCCCCCCCCCCCCCCCCCCCCCCGGTTCCATCTAATCCGATACCAGAGATCCATCGAGGATCGACCCGATTCCTAGCATGTATCGTGGCCGTGTCGAGGGGCCGCGAGGGACGGCCGTGACCAATCGGAATTTACCCCAAATTGCATCTTTACGTACCGATTTCACGCCTGCGGTAAGCCTTTCGTCGGAACGATTCATCTTAGGGAAAAAAAAGGAAGACGGACCCGTATTTCCTGGATGGACTCCATCCCGTGGAAGGTGGAGGTATCCAATTCCATGATGTGATTGTGACTGAGATCCAGGACTTCCATGCGAGGGATCGCATGCAAGAGAGAAACCGGCACGGTCTCCAACAGATTATAACTGAGATTGACGAGATGAAGACCGGGGTTCACGTCCTTCACGCTCGACCCGTCCACGCTTCGAAGGAGGTTGAAGTCCAGGGAGAGATGCCGGAGGGAGTCCAGCCTCTCCATCGCCCCGGCGCCCATCTCCATCAGCTGGTTGTGTTCGAGGTGGATCTCCTTGACGGAGGGGAGGCTCCTGAAGGCGCGGGGTTCGATCTTCTGGATGCGATTCCGACTCAGGTCCACGGTCTTCAGGTTTTCCAGGTCCTGGAAGGATCCGGACTGGACGGTGGAGATGGCGTTCTTGGAGAGGGTAAGGACCTTGAGTCGGGGCAAGGCGTGGAAGGATCGTTCCGTCACTTTCTCCATCTTGTTCTCGCTCAGGTCCAGGACTTCCAAGGAGGGAAGGTCTTGGAACACGTCGTCGACGGCGATCAGAGAATTGTTGCATACGTCCAGGCTTCTCAGCCGTCGAAGGGGTCGAAGACTCTGGGATTCCAAGTCGTGGATGAGATTGTAACTCACATCCAGGGATTCTAGGCTCCCTTGATCCTGAAAAGCGTCCCGTTTTACCCGTTGAAGCAAGTTCCGACTCAGATCCAGACTCCTCAGCTTCCTCATGTTAGGGAATTGATTCGACTCCAGATCGATGATCTGGTTCAAAGACAGATCCAGCGTCTCCAAGTCCTCCATCCCCGCGAAGAATTCCCTCCTCAAAGACTTGAGATCGTTCAAGTAGAGATTGAGATAGCTGAGACTCCTGAACCCCGGGACGGGCCCGGCGGGAAGCTCGACGATGAAATTACTCGACGCGTCCAAGTACAAGAGACTCGTCCTTTCGGAAGGGAACACTTGCGGCTCGAGCGCCACCAACTTGTTGTGGTTGAGATGAAGAGTGCGAAGCCTCGGGAGATCGCCGAAGACACCCGGGGGAAGAGCCTCCAAGAGGTTGAAGCTCACGTCCAGGTCTTGGAGTCGATCCAATCCCCGGAACGCGTCTCCGGGGATGTCCGAGATCTCGTTCGAGCTCAGGTTCACGTGCTGGAGGCCCGATAGGGCCCGGAACGTCCTGGAACCGATCTCCCGGATCCGGTTCTCGCTCGCGTCCACGTGGGACAACATGGGAGACCCGAGGAACATCCGGTCGGGTAGAGAAGCGATGTCGTTCCGAGACAGGATCAAAGTTCCCAGCCGAGGCAGACCCTGGAACGGAGAATCTGCGGTGATGTCGTTTTCGCGAAGATCCAGAAGAACCAGATTCCCCAAGTCCCTCCACGAGTCCCCTCCGATTCTCTCGATCTCGTTCCCGTCCAGATAGAGATTCTGGAGGGAGAAGTGCCCCAGAAAGGCGTCGTCGGGGATCTCCTTCAGCTGATTCCGACTCAGATCCAAGATCCTCAGGGCCGGCAAAGACCTGGTCGTCCTCGTGATCGATCTCACGTCCGTCACGTTGTTCCCGGTCATGTAGAATTCCTCGATGCTGTTCGGCAGGAAGTCGACGGGGATCCGTTCGATGTGATTCCTGGCCAGATCCAGGACCCTGAGTCGCGGGAGAAAATGACTCTGCCGACCCGGTAACGACTCCCTCCTTGCGATCAAGTTCCCGGGAAAATCCTGCATGCGATAGGCGGGAAAGGGACTCTGAAGAAAAGAGAGCCGATTCCCTCGCATCTCCAGCGTCTCCAGCGATCGCAGATCCCGGATCGCCGCCCCCACCATCTCGGGATCCCGGATGGAGTTCTCGTTCAGGATCAACGTCTCGAGGCGAGGGAGGGAAGCGAAAGCCATCGGATGGATCTCTTCCACCCGATTTCCGCTGAAATTGGCCAGGATCAAGGACGGAAGATGAGAGAGGGCCCCGCCCTCGAGGACCTTGAGATTGCCCTCCGTCACGTGCAGATATCGCAGATCGTCCAACATGTGGAAGGTCCTCGGACTCAACGCCATCGCCTCTCCCCCGCTCAGTTCCACGTATTGAAGGCTCGGATGACCCTGAAGGAGGGGAAACGCGTTGAAGGGCGTCCCCCGCACGACCAGACCGTGAAGGCCTCGGAGTCCCAAGAGAGTGTCCGAGGGGAAACTCCTCAGAGTCGGTTCCTGGATGAAAATCTCCCTGAGGGAATCGCGGAGGGCCATCCCGTCGAACGCCCCGGCGGATACCATCTCCAGGCCGTTCTCGACCAGGTGGATCTTCTCGACGACGAGGGATCCGAAGGCCCTGGCGGGGAGCTTCATCAACTCGTTCCCGATCAGATGCAGTTCGTAAATGTGGAACGGGGGACTATTCATGAAGGCTCCCAGCGCTTCTCCCATCTCCAGCGTCCGAAGCCCCTCGCACCTAAAAACGATTCACACTTTCAAAATTCAATTCTCATACCCCCCCCATTTTTTTCCCACTAAAATTCTCTCGTGCTTTGATGCGACCGAAGCGAAAATCTGGAACGGATTCCTCCGATAATCGGATGGGTGGGATCCCGAGAGAACAGATTTCCTCTCCGGCCTTTTTTTCCCCCTCGTATTTGCCCTCGGACGGGCCTGAGACGGCGGCGATTGATCCCCGAGCCGAAGTCATTCGTCGCGGTATAGGTAATAAAATGGAAGAGATCTTTCTCTTTCCCTCTCGTCCCCGGGGATACGAGAGGGAAAAAAAAAGGGAGAAAGGCCATCTTTCGTAGAGGAAGATGGATCGTGAGAGGAATTTCATTCCGGTGGATTCCCCCACAAAAATATCCTTTCCTTTTCGTTTCCGATCGGAAGAGAGAAAAAGAGAATTTCGTCGCTCTTTTCGCACCCGTCTAGGGATTACGTCTCCCACTGTCTCCCCCCGTCTCCCCTCGTCTCCCCTCGTCTCCCTTTGTTTAGCCTCCGGAAAGGGAAACGATCCCTGTTTGTCAGAATCTCGGTGCGGAATGATCCTTTTCCCTGAATATTTTCACCCCCGTGCCCCAGCTTAAAAAAAAAATAATAATAATACAGAAAAAAAACGAAGGATTCCACGATAAGCGTTTTGCTCTTTTTCCGCCAAGGTCTCAGAGGCCAGAAAATCTGATGC